TGCTTGTTCCTCTCCCGAAATGTCCGGCCCGAGGGCTCCCGCGCGTTACAAACGTTCTCGAAGCCTCACAACAGCCCTGTGAGGTAGGTCACTGTCTTCGTTTGACAGGGAATCCAAGGCAAAGCTGGCATGGAACTCCAGGTTTCTCACTTAACGCTGTCGCGATCCTCCTTCCACAGAAATATGGTCCCTGTTCATAGAAAACAAAGGATTTTGTGCCTATGCTCCTGGCTTCCCGCAGGAGAAAGCGCTCACAGGCAGACTGGCACCTACAATCACGTCCTGTGTTGCACAAGTTCCAGGGATCCGGCCTCCTTGACGTAGGGAGAACAAGAAAGAATAACAAAAAAAAAAAAAAATAATAACGCAAGAGGACAAAAAGTACAGGCAGACTGGGAACAACAAGTCCCATCTCACACTCAACGCCCCGACTGCGCTCGCGCCGTGGGGCGGCACAGCACGGCTGTGAGGCTCAGAGATCCCGCGCGGAACATCAGGAACATCTGGAGCCTTCAGGGCTTCCTCCCCTCCAATGTCCTCGGGGCACCCGGCGCGGGGAGAGTGAAGACGACCAGGATCACCACCCTGCACCGGAGCTGCTGGATCCACGCTCTGCCCGGCCCGGGGTGCAGGCACAGCCGCAAGCCAAGACATCCGTCCTCCTCGTGAGCCGGGAGTCGCTCCGGCACCAGAGCTGCTCCAGCCCGGCCCTGTGGGGATGGGGCGCAGGACGGTCCGCAGCAGCTGCGTCCTCACGTTCCAGTTCGGGGACTGACGCTGTGGAGAGCGGAGGAGGTGGGTGTCCACGAAGCTCACGCCGGGGTCCGTCGGCACTCCCAGTCCATTCCAGGCGGTACTGCGCTGGTTCTTCCTACATGGTGACCATGCACGGAGCCGACAGCAGGAGATTCAGACAACATTAATCTTCTAGGATGGAGAGAGATGACTTCACGAGGGATAAATAGAACTTTATTTAAATAAACATTTGTGAACATCTTTATACAAATTACAAGTCCCCACACAATCCTCCAGCTCCGCCTAAGCGCCAAAGCTGCCGGGAGGGCCTTTGAGCAGATCCACCAGGATGTCGAGCAGCTGGCTGTGCTGGTGGTGCAGGTCCCCAGGGATGGCTGCCATCTCGTAGCACAGGCACGTCTCCACCATCTTGGAGAGCGACACGCGGAAGTCACGCAGGAGGCGGATGGTGTAGGAGTCTCCCTCCAGCACCAGGAGGTCGCTGTCGGTCAGGGAGACTGTTGCTCTCCAGCCATCATCTTGGTGGGAAGAAGAGATGAG